TCGCCGTTACAAGTATTTTTGTCTTCTTTTTTGTTTATCATACCTAGATAATTAAATGTTAACAACGTTGGCCAATTTGCCAACATCGCTAACATTTTGTTTGCTACGTAGTTACACTTCTTTTTTTCATTAACATGGCCATTTGAAATCTTGTAATTATGATCTCTGATTTGTAATTAGGAACCTTGAAATTTACAGCCACCTAAAGATTTCTTAGACTATTAATACTGCAATACTAATTTTGCATAAGTTAAAGAAATATTTCCTCTTCGTAATCAGAGAAATTGTAACAACTTTGTTGCTAGTTAATAAAGCTAATAATTATAGATTGAACTGGAAATTATTCCGTTATTGCATCTATATCTAATTTTCAGGTGCAAGAGTTGGTTACTTGCAAGTCAAAATTGCACTTGTGAGTCTCTTGTCGAAATTTAAGTTCAAGCTTCATCCTCGAACTCCAGTTCCACTCTCTTTCGATGAACGACCTCTTGCATTTGTACCCAAAGGCGGTGTGTATTTTATCATCGAGCAGCGATAAAAAATTTTTTTTAAATATTGCTGCGTACATTACATATACAGTGTATTTCATAAATATTAAATAGTACAATAGATTTAATAGAGAGTGAGAAAAATGGAGAGAAAAGAAGAAGAAAAAAAAGAGGGAAAAAGAGGAGATAAATATAACACATTGGCAACCTATGTGAATTTGGCACCCGACTTTTAATAAATAAAGTTTTAAATAAGTAAAATAATAGTACTTTGTTTGTAATTGTTTGTAGTAAAAATATTTTCGTTTGTAGTTCAACCCATTATCAAAAAAAAATGTTTAAAAAATGACTGTCATCCGACTTTAAGATTTTTCAAATCCGCTTCTTCCACGTGATTCGGAATCGTTTGTAGTTGTTTGTAGTGATTTTCCTTTTGTTTGTAGTTGAATAGTTTAAAAGTTACAAAATATTTGCAATAAACAAATAATGTAACTTTGACAATTTTAAAGATTTTTGAAATCCGCTTTTTCCACGTGATTTAGAATCGTTTGTAGTTGTTTGTAGTGATTTTTTTTTCGTTTGTAGTTGCACCGTTTCAAAATTATGATTGTTTAAACAATTAGCTAAGAGTGAACTTTGTCAATTTTGAAGATTTTTCAAATCCGCTTTTTTCACGTGATTCGGAATCGTTTGTAGTTGTTTGTAGTAATTTTTCTTTTGTTTGTAGTTGCACTGTTGAGAAGTTACAGTACACTAAAAAAAAAATATTCTATTCTTTAGCGGTAACCTGTTATTGCTAGAGGATTTTCCTCTGGTATATGGTCTCAAGATGATATTCAAACATATAGAGTAATATCCTCTAAGCATATAAGATACTAGACTTATGGCCGGTTTATGGCTGGTTTATGCTTCGGTCTTAATCTTAATCTTAGTCTTAATCTTAACTTAATCTTAAGGACTCGTTTATGCTTCCCTGGAAATTCGAACTACGCATGTGCAAATGTAACAAAACCTAACCACAAATTGTAATAGAAAAACTATAAAAACACTCCTACACAGTTTTTGTTCTTTCAATTTAAGAGGTTAGATTCTACATACTAACTTACCACTTAAATTTAGCGCTTCTCCAATAGCGTTCCAACTATTCTTCACCACTAATTTATTTTATAATTTGGATTTTTTTATTCCAAACAACATCAAATTGTTGGACACATTCAATTAAATCAGCATCACTCATTTCGTATTTTACAAGAATCGAAAACCATTATTTCGCGCGGTTTCGTGCTGCGTCGGACGTCAGACTTACCTCATTGGCCCGGCCTTAGGACATTAGGGACTAAAGTTAAAAGATGGGATCTTTCCAAGATTAAGATTAAGACTAAGATTAAGACTAGGAAAGTATAATGGCCGGTTTATGCTTCGGTCTTAATCTTAATCTTAAGAGTTGATAACGTAGAATGCCATAAGGGCGTTTATACTTCCCTAGTCTTAATCTTAGTCTTAATCTTAATCTTGGAAAG